TGCAGCCTCCCCCTCCTGGATTCAAGCGATTCTCCTGTCTTGGCCTCTTGAGTAGCTGGGATTACAGGTGTCCACCACCATGTCCGGCTAATTTTTATATTTTTTGTAGAGACAGGGTTTCATCATATTGGCCAGGCTGGTCTCGAACTCCTGACCTCAAGTGATCCTCCTGCCTCAGCCTCCCATAGTGCTCAGATTACAACCCTGAGCCACCGCATCCTGCCGAGCCTCATTTTTCAGAAGAGGAAACTGAGGTTCAGAGTGAACACCTGCCCAAAACCACAAGACCTGGCAGGAGGAGGAACACTTAGGTCCCCCCACGTGAGCTCTGTTCTTGGAGGGTGGAGAAGCCTGGCACCCCCCATGACATAGATTTCTTCTCTGCAGATGACCCCACACAGAACAGAAACCCGACCCCAAGCTTCCCAGGTGAGCCCTGTACTGTGTTCCTCCCCCAGCATCTTCCTCCCCCACCACCACCCCTTCCCCTCCTGCTCAGACCATCTCTTCGCCCCGGACACAGGACTCCTCTTCGTGCTGCTGGGGGCGGGAAGCGTGGGTGTGGCGATCATGCTGGGCGCCTGGTTCAGGGGCCGCCGCTGCTGCCAGCAAAAGGATTCAGGTAACAGCCCAGGTAAGGGAGGGTGGGGCGGAGGAGGTGGAGGTGGGAACTGCAGCTGCTTGACAAAGACCCATTGCATCTGTGCTCCCACCTAGGGGAAGGAGGGAGGAGGGATGGAGGAGAAGCCTGGCTCCTATATCCTATACTCATGTTTTTCAGAAATAGAGACAAAGCCCCTAGCCTGGGCAACCTAGCAAGATCCCATCTCTACAAAAAAAAATTAAAAATTGCTGGGCGTGGTGGCTCATGCCTGTAATCTGAGCACTTTGGGACGCCGAGGTGGGTGGATCACCTGAGGTCAGCCTGGACAACATGGTGAAACCTTGTCTCTACTGAAAATACAAAAAATTAGCCAGGCATGGTGGCGGACATCTGTAATACCAGCTACTTGGGAGACTGAGGCAGGAGAATCGCTTGAACCCAGGAGGCGGAGGTTGCATTGAGCCAAGATCGCGCCACAGCACTCTAGCCTGGGTGACAGAGCAAGACTTGGTCTCAAAAAAAAAAAAAAAAAGAAAAAAAAAGAAAAATTAGGCTGTGCATGGTGTCTCATGCCTGTCATCCCAGCACTTCGGGAGGTCGAGGCAGGTTAGGAGTTTGAGACCAGCCTGGGCAACATGGTAAAACCCAGTCTCTACTGAAAATACAAAAATTAGCCAGGCTTGGTGGCCTGTGCCTGTAGTCCCAGA